GCTCAAATTTAAAGTGTATTATGGGGAACTTATCAAAATCGAGGAGTGTATTTGTATATGAAGACAAGTGTAACACACACGAGACCCTACTCAGATCGAACACACTTCTTCAAGTTTTTCACAATTACTCCATCATCCATTAACACGAACACCCATAAGGCCTTGCATTTCAGTATAATTATCCACAAACGTATAACACAAAAGATCAAACCATTTTAAAGTGACACCAATTTATTTACACGGTTCAACACATTTGCGTGTCCCTCGATGTGTCACGTCCCATAATTATCTAAATAGGTGCTTTCTACAGTGTTTATAAGGATCGATGTTATAAAACCATGATCGACATTGTACGAGTATAAAGAACTTAGCATAACAAATGCTTTATTTCCATCACTATATTATGTGTAATTTAGTTTTATGTTAGCTGGCGACTAGCTGCTTTTTGTTAATATCTAATGTAAGTATTATTATTTGTCTCTTTCTAACACACGAGCACGAAGGTTCATTATGATTGGTCGATATGTACTGACTTATCGACTTTGATATGGCGAACGCCTTATATCCTGAAGGACGGTTAATAACTAGTCAAGGTCTGCTGCTTCAGTCGATAGGGCGGTAGTTATGAAGTTTTTTTCGTAAACAAGGTTAACAATCTTAGGTCTTAAATCAGATCTCTCCAATCGCTAGGAACAGCCTCAAGGGGCAGACGTCAAAGTGTGGTCACTTACTTTTACTATTGGGAAAGGGATCAGGACCTATGTCAACCTTACGAGCTTTTGTATAGGCTGACAGTGTACCCCGCATGTAATATTAATATTCATATAGTATTTGTTATATAGAATACTTGCACATTGCATTCAGGCCCTATAATTAGTGAAAATAACCTATCGCATGGGGGCCTCAATGTCTCTGTAGAATGGGTATGAATTTTATGAAATCTTGGTTAATACTTTGATTAGGATTCACAAAACTTTTTTACTATTTCTCTGTTAGTACCTATTAAAAACCATTTAGCACGACTGTATCAGTAAGTGTGCCTTTTAAACTTATTTTCTACGACACTAGAACGGGCGAGCAATCGCGTGACACTTTTTTAAACAATAAAAATGTGTTTTGTTCTTTGTGTTTTAATATTTTAGCTTTACTTTGTCTGTCGTGGAATATAAAGTAATTATTATACTTATTCCGGTAGTAATGGAATTTTAAAGTATTCAGCGCAAAATTACCTACCACGTTAAAAGCTGATAAATTTGTGTCCATTCTTCTTGACAGCCCCTATATGTCACAATCATCCCTAGTAGCATTTTGGGTTGGCCAACCGTGCAATACGGTCGGGAACAAGTTGGGAAAACGTTAGTGAGATTTATTACAAAGTTCCAACTATCTGCCAACAGTTTTATTGCAGGAAAAAATACCATACGCACATCCAACTATGGCCCTACTGTCATTTATTGTTATTTTTTCTCACAAATATTTCTCACGTTAACCCAACGAAGGACCTACTATGATTTTTGGTTGGGTTGCCATCTTAAATGCCACACCAAAATTTTATATGGGCCCTACCATAGTTTTTCATTCATATCCCAACTGAAAAGCCCTACAAATTTTCAACCTGGGCCCTACCACGACTTTTAGTTGGAATCCTAACAAAAGTTCCACACAAAAATCTGCCGTGAGCCCAACCACAGTATTTTAATAATATGCCAACCGAAAATTCTTACTTATTTTCAAACTAGGCCCTACCACTACTTTTAGTTGGTATTGTTACGAACATTTCATACAAAATCAGGCGTAAGCCCAACCATAGTATTTTTATTAATATCTCAACTGAAAAGCCCTACAAATTTTCAACCTGGGCCCTACCATGATTTTTAGTTGGAATCCTAACAAAAGTTCCACACAAAAATCTGCCGTGAGCCCAACCACAGTATTTTGATAATATGCCAACTGAAAATTCTTACTTATTTTCAAACTAGGCCCTACCACTACTTTTAGTTGGTATTGTTACGAACATTCCATACAAAATCAGGCGTAAGCCCAACCATAGTATTATTATTAATATCCCAACTGAAAAGCCCTACAAATTTTCAACCTGGGCCCTACCATGACTTTTAGTTGGAATCCTAACAAAAGTTCCACGCAAAAATCTGCCGTGAGCTCAACCACAGTATTTTGATAATATGCCAACTGAAAAGTCTTACTTATTTTCAAACTAGGCATTACTTTTAGTTAGTATTGTAACGAAAATTCCATACAAAATCAGGCGTAAGCCCAACCATACTATTTTTCTTAATATCCCAACTGAAAAACCTTATTAATTTTCAAACTAACCCCTACCACGACTTTAGAGTTTAGTACTAACATTAATATTTGTGAACATGCACAAAACTTTACAGACAGACTTCTTATTTATTCTTCTTTTATCTTGTGAACCTCTTATATAAAAATACTTCTGAAAAATCAAGTTTTATCATTTCATATTTTGCGGATTAAACTAATTAATAAACCATTTTTTTTCCGGAGGTATAATTATTTTATTTAACGTTGATAATTCATTTTTTTTTTGTTTTATTGTGATTATTATCTTCGTAGCACTCTTTAAACTTTATGTAGTGCCGTCCTTGGCCCATCTTCTTTCATAAAAATTGGCTTGAGCCCAACTGCAGTATTTTTATTAATATCCCTACTGAAAATGCAAAGAATGTCCCAAACATACTACCCCATCCTACCACAGTTTTGAGTTAGATTTTTAAGAAAAAGTTAATACAGATAGATATCTGTATTAACTTTTTCTTAAAAATCTATCATAATCATCAGATGATGAGGGCCCTATCTAGTATTTTAATAATATCTCAACGACTCCCAACCGAAAACGCCAACAAAGGCTCAAAGAGGCGCCATCTTATTTTTGATTTAGCTAATGTTGCTAGATGTAAGGACGTTCTCCCAATTTGGACTATATTCTCAGCATCAGAGAAAATGTCAAAATATATATGCATATATTTAAGAAAAAGTTAATACAGATAGATATCTGTATTAACTTTTTCTTAAAAATCTATCATAATCATCAGATGATGAGGGCCCTATCTAGTATTTTAATAATATCTCAACGACTCCCAACCGAAAACGCCAACAAAGGCTCAAAGAGGCGCCATCTTATTTTTGATTTAGCTAATGTTGCTAGATGTAAGGACGTTCTCCCAATTTGGACTATATTCTCAGCATCAGAGAAAATGTCAAAATATATATGCATATATTTAAAGAATGTTATGTAATGAGAATGCACTTGAGAAAATATCCAACAAATAAAATATTAAGGTATTACTTATTACTTACTCTAGAGATTTTTCTGACATAACACAATTTGACACCTTTGTACGATCTAATTTTCATTATACAACAGTACTACCATATTGTCCTTTAGCAACATGTGTTGGGTAAAGGAGAATGGTGACTTTGGATTTGACAACGTTTTTGGGGGTAATCTATAAAAATTGCTTTGTTTGAGAATCACAGCATACTTAGATTAAAAACATTACATAATATCATTCGAAAGTATAAAAAGTTCTGTCTTTCTGTTTGTAAGGGGTAATCTCCGGAATGACTGAACTGATTTTGATGTTACTTTCACTGGAAGATAGTTTTTATTACTTTTTACCCCAAATTCAAGCGGGTTCGGGATTTACGCGGGAAAAATCGTGTTGACACAAAATCCTAACTACGGGAGTGAAGTCATGGGCAAGTTAGTCTATAATATAATTGATTTAATAAGATTTTCAAAAATTTATCGAAATAAATCTAACGTGTATAAACATGATACAAAATTATAAAAAAACCTTGTTAATGCTAAAATATTAAATTCAGTATTAGAATCGATTACCTCGGTAATAATCAGTACTAAATGCCATGCTATGCCTATAATTCAACCTCTTTGTTATATAATGAAATCACTATATTGACCTGTCAAATAGAAATTATTTTCAATTTCACGCTCTATTTCAAGGAAATAGAGTAGGCCCCTAGTTGCGCTCAGGCATCATGTTAACTGGACCGAATGGTATAGCAGTACAATGTGTGGCTTTCTTTATCTATTGTGATTTTAATAAATAATTACTCTGTATTTTGTCAAAACAATTTTTACTTAATGTAAAAAAAGACCAAACTGGTATTTTTTATATATCCTGTTTTTTTATATCAAATAAGTAATAAAGTCTAGATCACCTTTTCGGAAGACATAAATCGGTCCTAAAAACAAATAATATCACAATAAGTTCTGTTAATTTTTATAAACGTACCGTATGTAAAAATAAATTGTTTTTTTTTTCAAATAATAAAAAAATAAACCATCTTTTTTACAGTTGGTTAAAAAATTAACATTACGGGTAAATTTGGGTAATTTTCGAATCAGTTTCGGCCTTTTCTTGGGTGACTAGGGGCAACACTACACAACCGCCGTTTGTTTGATGTCTACGTTTGAACCGCGTAAGTTTTTGTTGATTCCCCTTGTTTCAAATCATTATATAACAAATTAACATTTGAATTTGCCGAAATATGTATCTATCATAGTGTTAATCAACTTCGTTTTTTATTTATATAGATATAAAAATATTAACAATACACCATGTACAAGGTGGTAGAGTTTGATGATGGCGGCGTAGGCGTTATTCGACAACAATGGTCGACTCCTAGAAAAAATAGTTGTTTGGCCATCAATCAAGAGGATAAATTAAAGTTTGATCGATGGCACAGATCCTGATTCTACCTGGAATATTTACAGCATAAGACGTATGTTTTATGAAACCGGTAAGTCTTTGTATAATACTTGACCTGGTGATTATCAAAAGTGATTTTTTTATTTAAGCCTGTCCTAGCTTGAGAATCTTATAAAACCTATTTATATTGTATATTTTTTAAGACAAATAAGAGGGTAAGCTGTTAGTGCATCACTAAATACTCCATAATTTTGTGCAGATTTTCCACAATTTATTTATACAGACATGCAGCAGGTACAGTAAGCATTTCAATAACTAGTGAAATAGGTTGTGGACTATCTATTTGTGTGTTAATATGTTTATGGTTGTGAGACTACCAACATGCTGTGTATGCAAGCTATAAAATAATATTTAATTGCATGGCTAAATAATATAAGCATACACAACCTCGCTTTGTGGAATTAATCACATTGCAATAATTCCTATCCAATTTTTAGATGTAAGCAGTACTACTGGCGATATTGATGTTTCAAAAACACTATCTTATATGTACTTACTATTACTTTAATATTAATTCAGTCTTTTTTGTTTTACACTTGGCTGCACCTAAGATTTGTTATTTACAAATATGCTATATTAAATTCTTATTAAATGCATATAAATGACATTATTGTAATTATATTTCAGTATCATTGGATTTAGCATTGACACTTATTTTAAGGACAATTTGCTTAACTCGCAGTGTCTAGGTAAGAAATACACAAGTATTGTACATTATTACTTTTTAACAGATGTAAAAAATATAATGTTAATATTGCTATGCTCTTTTATGCATAAATATAGCTATGAATAAGTTTAATAATCCCTAAGTGATATGAAATACATTTTCAGATGTAATTGCCCGCCATCTAGCTAAAATTGAATTTGCTATTAAAGAATTGCAATCAAATCAAAATGAGATCTTAACAAGGTTAAGGAATCCATCTTCAACTCTATCACCTGCTATGTTGCCTTATGGTATTAAAATATCATGTGATGATTAACAATCTTTACAAGATTTAGAAAATTGGATTTCAAATGATAATTATAAACTGTTGGCAAGTATTCATGTTTTTTTTATTATTTACCATAAAGTTTGACTAAGTATTGACTTCTCCCTACATTGATAATAATACTGTCAAAAACTATTATGACAACTTTTTTTAATACCTGACTTTTTATGAATAAGAATCATGTATGAAGTTGTATTGAACAACTTAATAGTTTCCAAGAAATCGGTGAATAAACATGCAAAAAGACACACGCGAAATTAAGCACAGGTGTATGGAAGGGATCATCATACTATATGTATGGCAATTCCATACCTCCTTTTTAAGTTGGTTAAAAATTGTCGCCTTGTAATATCAGAGCTTAGGTTAAACGACGTGCGATAGTTTTATATCTTGTATTCGTATTTCCGGATAGGGACCACTTTTTACCATTACAATTTTTAACCGACTTCAAAAAAAGAGGTTAGCAATTTGACTTGTACATAATACTGTAGGAATTGGATAATATTTGAGTATGATGATCCATTTAGGCTCTAAGCATGTGTGCTTAATTTCATAAGTGTATGAATGTTTGTCCACGGATTTCTTGGAAACTATGTTGTATTGAGATGATTCTTTTTGATATAAGTTAGGTATTGTTCAACTTGGGGAACAGTCCAAGTTTCTTCAAATTCTGTTGAGTAGTTTTCAATATATGGGTAGTGATTGGTATAGGAGGTCTGTTTAATTTTTTTACTAAATTGAGCTTGTTAGTTAAAAGTACCTATAGCAATATGGCAGATAGTAAATCATATGACGTAGAAGAAAAACAAAACCTAGCAGATGCGATAATTTAGTAATCTGTTAACATTTGCAGGTAAATCATTTGAGTTATATTGGCGGCAATAAACCTCCAGCCATAGTTAAAAGGATACTCGAAAAAGTGTTCACAGACAACCTTGCTGTCAATTGTAACTGGACAGGGAAAAATAAAAAGACTTCACCAAAGGATCTTCGTATAGTAAAGATAATAAAAGGTAATTAAATTAACAACATTTTTACTAATTAATTATTTGTGTTGATTGTAAAATTACAATTCATTATTGCTATACATTAATAATAACATTAGTTGGTACTTGTAGTATGTGATATGCAACTCACCTGTTGGAAATTATCACAGATGCTGTACATCATCATAAGATTGCAGAGTTCGCAACTGATGATGTAATTCAGAATATAATAAGTGGTTGGTTCAGATTTACTAAAGATCGCGATGGAGGAAGAGAAAAGAGAAGAACTACATGTACCTTCGAACTGACACAAAATTTTTTAGTCAAGAATATGAGGATCATCACATATCTAAAACTGAATTACAGAACTTAATTTAGGTTTAGTGACGCAAGTCCCATTAGACTTTATGCGTTTAGTTTGTTTAGGCGTTATGAAAAAAATGATACAAAGTTGGATATGTAATGGACCAAAAAAATGTAAATTAAATGCTTCTAAAATATCCGAAGTATCAGAATGGTTAAAAATTATACATACATTATCCCACCGAATTTTCGAGACAGCCTAGGTCTTTAAGTTTATTCAAGTATTGGAAAGCAATGGAATTTAGAGCTTTTCTTTTATATTTGGGTCCCATTGTTTTAAAAAATATATTATCGAGTAGTTTGTATAAACATTTTTTGATGTTTCATTGTGTAATATACAGATTGTGTTGTAATAATATTGACCAAAATAATGTATGATGTATATAACTTTGGAGAACTAGATTCCTTTTCAACATTTCCTTTTGAAAACTTCATGTGTAAAATAAAGAGGTTACTTCGTTCGCATAATATGCCATTAGAGAAAATTGCTAAATGGCTGGGTGAAAAAGCAGCTGACAAGAAATTTGATAATAATGTGAATATTAGTAAGAAAAATAATAAGGCTATAATTCGTGATGGACGGATAAAAAGATTTTTTTGTATGTATTTAACTGTGCTGTAAGTACTTGTTTAAGAGATTCTTGTTTTGTTACTTTCAATGGAGATATTATTGTGGTTAAATCTATTGAAGTAGAAGCAAAATCTGATGCTTATACTTTACACTATAATAGTTTTTTTAAACAAAAAGATTTTTACAAAGAATCCATTGAAAGTAGCAAATTGAGAATATACATGGTCAGTGGTGAAAAAATGTTATTGTCAATTCAAACGATTTAAGCAAGAAATCTTTATTGTTGCCTAATTTTGATAGTAATGACCATTCATTTATCTGTGTACCTTATGTGAGTATGAATTTGCACTATTAAGCTCAATGAGAAATGCTAGTTTCAATTTTAAGAGTGTGGGAAGTGAGTCAATTCCATACAATTTGCGGTGCTCTTACACAGCTATAATATGTTTTAAAAACCTACTGATTGTAATTTTTTTAAGTTTTGTTTTTTTTGTTTCACGCCAATTCATGGTTTTTCAGCCAAATAAAATATGGTTAAATAAACAATTGTATTTTATTTTTACAGCCTCACCAAGATGCCCAAGACTACGAGACGTACTGCAGTGTTCCTCATAAAAGGCAAGGACACTGGGCCAAACTGAGGATTTACTCGTTATAGCGCCAACATTGTCTTACAAAGTAAGACCTTCAGACACATTATTGTGGGATTTACAAACTGACTGAATAGTAGGCATGTCATCGGGTTCATGAGTATTTATCAACATTGGTAAAAACATTTGATAAATACATTTTTTAATTAAATGTTTTATTACGATATTTTGGTTGGCCATTTGATACTTTTTAATAGTGCTGATATTCATATATTTTCATGAATTCGATGATATACTGTGCAGTCAGTTTGTAAGCCCTACAAAGATGGTGTATGTAGGCCTTACTTTGCAAAATATGTTGGCCCTATTATGAGTAAATCTTAGTTGGCCCTGTGTCCTTGGCTCTTTATGAGGAGCACTGCAGTTGGCCTCATATAGTAAAAGTTAAGTTAGGCCTACAATTAAATACCACAGTTGCCCTACCATGAACGGTCAGCCCAACGTTAAAGAATGTTTGTTGGCCCTATGTGAGAAAATTGTGGGAAAATTCGCAGTTGGCTTTACGTTGTAAAAGGTGACTAGGACCAACGAAGGAAAAGCTTCAGTTGGCCCTTTCTCCAATTGTAACGGTGGGCCACGGTACTTTAGCTTTGTGGGCAGCAGTGCAATCAGGGGTGCCATTACCCACAGTTGACCAACCGAACAGCAAACAAAGGCCCAACGAATTGCCGTACCAAAAATGCTACTAGGGATATTATTTAACATATTGTATTACATACAGATTCACATAATTAAAAACGCTACCATTTTGTAATGCTACTTTCCGATAAGACAGATTGCAATAACACCAATATGGCAATACGTTTTATACTATAATACGATAAGGATAAGATAGAAAACTAAATTTTTTAGGGCTCCCTATCCATTACACCTTGCTACCAACTATCAGGGAGAGTGCACAACAAATTACCCCTACGAGAAAAGGTTCCCTATCCATTGATTAGGATGTATGTCTTAATAATAGGTCTTTACCTATGTTATTGCCGTTCTGCCGTACTGGCCATTTAGCTTCCGTATATTTTTATCATAATTTCAATCAAAACAAATGAAAATTATAAATTCCGTAGGTTCAACAACAAAGCACTTGTGAAAGTCGAAACTCTATGCCATCGATTCGTAAGTTTATGGCGGGAGACCTTGTACCGAGAAGAACCGGAAAGATACTCGGCAAGTTGATTTTTTCTCCCTGATTTATTTTCATACAGAGTTGTCAAGATTGTAAAATGACTCCATTAAAATACGATGTAATCTTCCATCACAATATTAGAAAATATAAAAAAGTATTATACACATTTACTTTTCAGTTGATTAATATCGAATAAATGTAACATAAAATGATAAACGATAAATTGCATGATACACACTTGTGAAAAATAAGCCATATTAAAAGTTTTGTCGTTTAAATATTCATTAACAGTATACTATACTTACAAAATAGACGATTTTTAATATGATTCTTAAATTTAGACAATGCTTACTTTAAAATTTCTATAGGAATTTTGTTATAGTAGTATATACCTTGCCACAGAAATCTTACTAGAACTTTCTTTAGCTTACATGACGGCAAAACAAGTTTATCTTTGTTTTTGTATTAAAGTTGTGTACTCAATATCAACAGTTATGTTTAAGCTATATTGTTTTTGATATAAAGTGTATATAAATTGAGAGGCCACTGTCAATATCCTATTTTTTTTTGAAAAGGAAATGTTGCTCCTGTAAGCATAATTATATTTAAAACATTCTCAAGTTCTCAGTTTGTAAACTTCTATATGGCCTCGCCGACCGTTGCTGTTGCATGCTCGCTTCGCTCGCTCACCTCGCTTTATGTTTTGGTTACATTTCTAACCTTCTTTATTCGATTTATTAGTTCTTTCAAGTCTAGTAATATTATGCTTACATGTTTAATTTTAATTTATATATTTATTTACTAACATCTCCTTTAATACTTGATAACAACCGAAATCGGCTAATTAACACATGAGCGACTTTCAATTCAGCGTGAAGCTATTACAATGAACTAATACAACAAAAGGCTTCATACACGAAACCGATAAGCCTCTCGCCTCTCCAGGGAAACTACTTATAGGAAATTGTGTGATCGATCAAGCTGTATGCGGAAAGTGTGCTTATAGATATATCGCTTCTATTAACGGACGCTTAAGTGTTTCATTTGGTTAAAACCTCATTATACTTAAGACTTTGTTATTTTTTTATCGTTCTCAATGTAACTATTTACCAATTGCTCGAATGGTATTAGTACAAACAAAATATTACACAAATCTTCTTATTTTACATTATGGATCGAATCAAATAAGGAGAACGAGAAATAACCCACCTAGTGTGCCAAATGTGGATTGGTATGCTGTGGTAACTTATGGTATCCTAAGTTCATTATAGTTGGTATCAGATGTTATATGTATATATTTATTTTTAATCAATAAATAAAATAAAATATAATCAAAGAAAATATTTTGAAAACCAGTGGTGATGCCGCCATTTTTATTTTAACTTTTATTTATTACAATTTATGTTTTAAATTCCTATAAACATAATATAGAATATATATTTCGTCTATAATGGAAATTTACTAATTTCATTTGTTATACTTGTGTCAATAAAACACAAAAGGACATTAAACAAAAGTTTACACAGCTGACTCGCATTACAGCCATTACGTTACAATCCCGAACAAATATAATATCCACAGAAATGTATTTACAGTTCGCAAGGTAACCGAAAAACAGTGGTAAATATAATAAAAGGAGATAATTAGGGAAATAACAAAACAAACGTTAACAATTCATTCCGAGTTAAACTTCCGAGGATTATTATCTGTGTCCGTCCGTTGCGAAATTAGAACTTTTAAAATTCCACCGTCCGACATTTTGTGGTGATAAAAATATTTAACCTGTGCCTGCAACGGTTACAAATTTAAACACAGGAATACTTTCTGTAATAAATTTGTTGGAATCTGTCTCGTTTTGGGTTGAATATTATAGCTAATATATGAGGTTCCTACTAATGTATTGTTTTAAATAAGGAAATTTGTTTTTTTTTTTAATATCAATCCATATCAGTCATGTAATGTTCTCACAGTCCGTCAATTTTTCATATTACATTCCATTCTTGTGCACCACTCTAAGCAAACCCACAATGCGGGTGCAAATGTTTATAAACACCAATGTTTTTTAACTCCCTTCTTATACGATAAGATTAACAAAATGATAAACATTTATCCAATGACTAGGTCCTGTTGTAAGACAGCAATTATACAGTTATTAAAGACATTGAATAACCAGGAAACTGAGGGACTTCTGACGACTAATATTTGACCTATTCTATTACTATATTTATTTTATTACATAACTCATACACACCCTCTCTCACACACTCAATCATATACACTATCTACTCACTAAGAGGCACAAATCTTTGCATGCTTTACTGTTGTGTTTAGAATTTATTTTTTAATGAAGCCTTACAGTTTTTTATAATAATTTATGATATTAAACTTAATTTGGATTGATTTTAATTGTTTTTGTGAGCATTGTTTAATTGATAACTACTAGAATTATAATGATTAATTAAAAAACATTATTATTATTAATAATAATAGAGATTCAGATTTATTCTATAAATCTAATTCAAGCACAAATGCTACACAATTGTAAATTTGAGTACATAAAAATATGTTTTTTTGAAATAGATAAAAACTTGTTAATATAAATGATTATGTATCAAAGTTCTTTGAATAAATTGAAAATTGAAAAATTGAATAGTACATATAACCTCCAAATTATAATGACATATTTTCTGAATGCAACCAACATAGCAAAAATCCTTAAGAGATTGTAAAATCTCTTTCTATTTTTTTTTTATTACAAGTATTTGACAGCATTCAAATCGTGGTAAAACCCTGTTATCACACAAACACATAATAGATTTTCATTATCATTTTCTTTGAATAGTAGGAATAGTTAACAATGAAACTTTATCATTTCAGTATATCTGTATGCCCGTCCACGGCTTAACTCAGATGCTCTTACAACTAAAAGGCTGTTATTAGGTCAGAAAACTGGAAAAATAAAATCTTGAATATAAAAATTACTTTTGCCACTTGTAAAGTGCTTTTTCTCGACTATTCCATGTGAAGGCAAAAGAATAAATCCAATTTCATCATTAACATAAATGTAAAATGAGAGCCAAGTTCAATATTGAATGATGTGTCGTTTATCGATAAAATAATCAACAGTTATGTGTATACCAATTTCTGTGTTCGTCAACTATGTAACATCATAGTAACTACACAATACAGGCAGAACTAATGCAACACTGTGTCACACAAAATAGGCACAGAATTTCGAGTTGCGGAAAAACCCGCCGTGAAACATAACATTACTATACAATAAGAATCTGCTACTGATTATCTATTTTATGTTATTGCAAGTTATTTATTTATGTACATGGATGACCAACAGCTGAATGCTTTTGTATATAATAACATAATAATATCACCTCAATAATAATAATAAAATCTTTATTTGCAAAAATATGGTTTTATAAGTTGTTATCAATTTTTGAATACCTAGCATATTTTGTCGTCAGGACGACGTGCAAATATTACAAGTCATTTTTTAAAAAGAAATATAAAGCTATCAACATAATTTCAAGAAATAAAATACAAATTGTCACTAAAATATAATAAAATTGATATAAAAAAATGTCAGCATCTTTATCAAATAATTAAAAAAATAAATGTCAATTAAAATTATATAAATTATCCAAAATGTCAATGCCAATGAAATGAAAAATGCCAAGTCACTAATATTTCTTTGAATAGCATTAAAATCAAACAGAGTTATTTATAACGATTATCCAAACGTATGTTTGGTACTTACAGATAGTATTACTTTCAAGTGCTGCATCATAGAAATATTCCAAATCCTTTGAAATGTTTACTCAGGACTTAATTCAAACTCAAGACTTGACTTGGCCATTTTTATGTACA